AGAGAACGCGTTAAATATTAAAATTCGACTGGCGTACTTTTCGTCCAGATATTGAATGTCGTCTAAGAAGTCATCGATCACGTCTAAATTCGCATCCATCTTCAGAAAATACTTCTCCGGATCCATTATTACCTCATTTGTATCACTGTCTAAAAACTTGTCTTCGTTTCTCCCCGCCGGTTCGTTCAACCTATTGACACACTAGTATCATTATTTAAACTTCAACGTTTCCATAAGGTGCGGTGTTCCAATTTCTTACGCAGTAGGTCAGTGTCACATTTATTTCAATGTTTTACTCTTTTGTTTCGAGAGTTCAACACTGACCTTTCGCGACTAATGTCTTCACCTGTCTTCACCTTGATCCTGATCGTTGATTGCCGGAAGATCCTTGCTCCTCCACGACTTTCGTCGATCGCGTTGGCGATTTTGATATTCTAGTCGCGTTTCTCGTGTCCGCAGCCGGGCTAAGGAATTGCTGTTGCGGCTTTTTATTTTTCAGCTTTTCCTTCCTTTTGATTTCCTTCTGGATCGCCTCCTCTTGCTCGTCCTTTATCTCCTCCGTAGATTGAGGACACTTTTGGTTACTTTCCGCTACTATTGAAAAATACACGAGTTTCTGCGTGATTTATCCGAGATTGCAGTGGATGCGACGAATGAAATGTTTGACAGTTTTGGGGGCCAAAATTGAGACCAGTAGCCGAAATTTGACTGACTGTTGAAATTTTACTAAATTCTTAGAAGAAGCGAACAACATAGATAACATTCTCAAGTGAAAAGTTATTATTATTTACTAGGTAGTTTGCAAATAATTAATGTTACATTTTAATCTGTCGTTGCTCCAAAAAATCGCATTAACGCACAATAGATTCCAGATCGTGAAAGTATCCGAACGCTTATAAACGACGACTCGAGTGAATTACGAAATCTGGCGAAACTTTATTTATGTAAGTTGTTTAATTTTTCGGAGTGCATTTGTGATTACCGTGTCCCGCGTACGAGTCGATAATGTTCTCGTCTTGATAATTGTTCTTCATTCGCTCCTGCTCGCTTGTCGGTGACGACTCGCGATCCTGTTGATCGAGATCATCGTAGTCATAGTACTCGATCACACTTGGATTACGTCTTTCTCTCCCGGTGAGTTTCTTCTTTTTCTTAATTTTTTCCTTGATCAAAACGTTCACCTTTGCCTTTTTTTTGTCGCTGTACGCGGATCGTTCTTTCCTCCGCGCTGGTGCGTTACTTTTTCCTGAAAATGATCGGTTGATGAATTTCTTCTTTGAATTTCCTTTCGAAATAGCTTTTGAGAAGATTAAATTCTTTATAGATTAAAGAACTGAAATTACAGTGAGATGTATCCAACCGTTGATATTTAATTTGTCCCGATGATTCGAGAACTGTGACGTTTCTACTAGACGTCTATACTTAGATACGTGTATCTAAGATAATTACGTGAAACGAATATAAATACTAGGCAAAAGCGTCTCAGTTGCCCAATTTAAAGTCAACCCTGTCCTTGTAATTACTTTAATTAAAATAATCCATTTGTCCAACCTGCTACTCGTTTTCTAACCAGCCTAATCAGAGATTCAGCCAACCACGAAGGTTGCACAATGCACAGAATTTTACCTGAGCTGTCTTCTCTTTGCGCATTCTCCTCTTCTTCCTTATCGCTGTAACTCGCATCAGCGTCTTCTACGTCGTCGTTCGAATACTCCATATACTGCAACATCCTCCTCTGACCGTATCTGTCATTCATTACCCTATCGTCCATCCCGTTAGTCATTATGAATATCTCCTTGTACTTCTTATTTCTTCCTTCCTCGTTCTTCTCGTTCACCACGTTCGA